TGTTTTTCTTTTCTATTAGTAATATAAATTCTATTAATAGCATCTAATTCAGACTGAACTTGTGTTAGCATAAGTACAAAATATACCCGGACCTAGGCTTAGACAGCGTAATATGTAGGTACCTATAAAATTATCGATAAGTACGTGGCATAATATGCATTTTCTGTCCTCCTCGAACGGGTTTTCATGGCATTTAATTAAAAAACTATATAATCATAAAATTTTAGGATACAAGCAACTTTTTGTTCTTATGTAAGTATTAGAAAGAGTCGAAATATGACAAAAAACCAAATGTTTGACATTCTTTGAATAAGAACTGAAACAATGGCTGAACGTTTGATGCCCTGTTTGATGTGCCTTTTTGCGAAACGTCTGTGGGCGCGTGGTCAGCATTTGGCCGCCAGACGAAACCAAGTTTAAAGTTAACTTGCCACTGTACAATGTAGCTCCCATTATTTATGTTATGAGTCCCACGTAACAGGGGTGACCCTATTGCCATATAGGTACCGTCCGGTATTTCACAATTCTAGACTCCATTCTAGACCCAGTAATACTTTGCCCAACCCGGGAATCGAACCCGAGACCCCTTGCCCGGCAGTCGCAATTGCGACTACTCGTCCAACGAGGCAGTCGAACCGTTAATGATTAACTAACGATTTTTAAGTGCTAGCGGCAAAATGCTCAAAACGCGCCTACTACTAGGGTCAATGTGTATGTGTCTGATTTGTAAAAAATAGATTTCTTAAATAGTTTGGTCTTACCACGATTGTTATTTGCAGATACTGTTTTATACCTCTCGGCCTAGCTCTAGGCATTCCTAACAAGAAGAAGAGAAATCTCCGACACATACCTGCGTTAGAGTCTGCATATCGGAAGAATGCCCTCATCAAAGATGTAAGTACAAAAAAACAGCCGAATTGATAACCTTGTCCTTTTTGGAAGTCGGTTAAAATAAACTAAGCGTTCATGGTCGGCAACGCACGATGACGGGCGGCGCTGATCGCTTACCAGTGCGATCGCGCGCAGGTGATCCGTCTGCTCGTTTACGTCCTATTCCATAAACAAAATCTTAGGATGTTGTACTTATAGAATTTATTTATTACATGATAATATGTAAGTACCTACATCTGTTGTTTTTCAAGCTTATCGTTCTGAAAATGAAATCAATATAACGCATATCTCGTGCCGTATGAAATTGAGAAGAATACCAATAAAATTCTATTATTAGTTGGTCATGAAGATTAAGATTGTGTAGTAAACAGATATACAAAAACGGGGCAAGCTAAATATAACCAACTAGCTTTTACCCGCGGCTTCGCTCGCGTCACAAAAGGATAAAAAGTAGCCTATGTGACATATACCAATACACACAGCGCCATCTATACCAATACTTTTGTTTTCTCTCGGGAATATCAAATTATTCCGGGATAAAAAGATTCTCTATTATTTAAAGATAAAGAGATACTCTATTATTTAATCCGGACTTCTAAATTTACGTCTGCAAAAATTCAAAGCAATCGGTTTAGTAGTTACGGCGTGAAAGCGGAACAAACAAACAAACTAACTCACTCTCAAACAGTAAGGATTCAAAAAATCGCACTAGGCCCTAAGATAATATTTTGCTAAGATGGTTTTTTGCTGCTTCATATAGTTATGTAAAATGTAAAACTAACATTAGATTAATACATAAGTACTCCGTTGGTGAGATTTAGTGGTTGGTGTGGTCAGTGGTCACAAATAATCCATTGCACACCAGAGAATATCGATACGGGTACCATAAGTCTTCGCCTTTGATTACCATAAGAAAATGATAAAAATAAAAACTTCGTATAGAAAAAACGACTTCATAACCACAAAATTAAAAAAAAAACAAAAGGTAAAAACTAGATAATTAAGAAGCAAAAAGTCATATGTACTGATAAGTTACACGCCCACTGATAGGTAAGAAGTTGTGTCTTCAAAACTCCCATAGCTCTTGGCTTTCTAGATCTGAGTTAGCTATCTACAGCTTCCAAACTATACATTTCAGACTACGGCTCTCGCCAAGCAGTTGGACATGTCAGAACGCCAAGTGGAACGATGGTGGCGCCTCCGCCGCAACCAGGATAAAACTTCTAGCCTCACAAAATTCTGTGAACATGCATGGAAGACTTTCTACCTCCTCTTTAGTACACCCACAGTGTACTACATAGTGTGGGACAAAGATTGGTTCTGGGACCTCGATAAGTGTTACACTAATTTCGGAAAACATGTAAGTATTTTTTTTTTCGAATAATGTTCACTTGTTCTGTATGCTGTCGTATTATGGAGTTTCCCGACTAGTTTCGAGCCACACCTGGAGCTTTAACTATAAGTATTTGCGACCACATGCATTGACGTTACGCTCATCACCATCATAATCATGATTCGTGTATTATACAAATAAAAGAATACAAATAAGAGAAATCTTTATTATTTTCTAGGAACTAACGATGGATATTTATTGGTTCTACCTGGTGACAATGGCGTACATGATTTCTTTGACGATCACCTATTTCTACGACGTGAAACGCAAGGACTTTTGGGGAATGTTCGCACATCACATAGTGACAATCTTGTTACTGTGTATCAGCTGGATTATAAATGCTTTTAGGATCGGGATAGTGGTTATAGTGTTGTTGGACCTCACTGAAATTTGGCTTGAGGTAGGGCATTTCTTTTTTATTTTAACAACGGACATTCTGTACATATTGATATTTTAATGTACCTAGTCTTATTGATGGGTTTTGCGCTCTCTAAATGGCGCCTCCAGCGATTACAGGCGATATTGTTATTTGGATAATTTTGCAAGATATACTTACAACAGTTTTCTGCTATAACATTTGTATACTTAATTATGTTTGTAATTATTTTTGTTTTAGTTTGTGAAAGCCATAAGAAGAGCATATTTCGAGAAATTGGCGACATCTCTTTTTATTGGATTCGTGCCTGTGTGGTTCTATACAAGGATGTATCTGTTCCCACTGTACTTGTATAGGTACGTATTTAATTTATTTGTATATAATTTTATCTTGTTTCAATTAACTACCTAAGTTTACCCAATTTTATCACTTAAATCTCAGGGTACCTACCTACGGATTCAAAAGAATTGTAATGCATTCTGTAAGGGGGCATCCAAACCCACTCATTTTCATGGCGACTGGTTTTCGGAAAACACTAATCCTTTTTGTAATAAACGAGCTTAATGACCAGTCGCAGATATTCTCAAGTAACTACATACCAATTAAAAACAGTGTTTTGTAGGCACTTATGTTTTTATTGTTATTTTTTTTCAGCACTGCAATCCGTTCAATGGTATTTTGGGGACATATCGCCGCTTTATACGTGGTGAATGCAATGCTGTTTGTATTGTTCTTCCTATGTGTGTACTGGTCGGTACTGATAGTCAAAGTTGTATTCAATACCTTCAGTTCTGGGGTAAGCTCTTTATCTTTTTTACTTTTTTACCAATGTATGTAAAAGAAAAAGACAATCCTTTTTCTTGTTTAAAAATAAAACGTTGCCCCCACACTACGATTTTCTCCTGTGTCGTGGTTGCGTTTACAAACATACAATTTCACATACACATGGCATCCAGATTCAAAATAACAATTTGTGGATCACACAAACCGGTGCTTCCGAAGCGAAGCCAATCCGCTAACCTTACATGGCAGCCAGTTCCCCAGCAACCGCACCAACTGTGCAGTCATATCTTTGGTTACTACATAATATAAAGCGAAGTCACTTGTTATGACGGGGTGAAACCTTTAGAAAGTGGCTAGCTTTTGGGGAAAGCTTAGGGTCTGTAGAATTCTTACTTCACGAATACTACCTCGGTGTGGCCACCACGTATATTAACACCTACAAGGGAGCACCAGGTCTTCTAAATAGACTAGCTGGAATATCCCCAGGGAGATTTGCTTTCCACTTGCTAGTCCCATCCACTTACTACATTATACATCTTATTTCAGATGTTTAGAGAATCATTTATGTGAAAAAATGTTGTGAATTTTTCGTAATCGGGGATTAAGAAGTTCAGCCTCGCTATGCACTGTAATATTTGATAACTATGCCAACATCGTGTTCTCTGAATCTGAGGTTACTGACGAATATAGTCACCGCTCTAAGCACCCGTAGCCCCAGGTTCACCTCGACGAGGTCTCGGATATCACTTCTGCCTGTTCGTAATGAACTCAAAAAAATCTACCTAACTAAAAGTTCACCAAAGAGCACCAAAAGAAAAGCCAATTAATGTTAATGTGATTTTGTTACAAAGATTTCGGGTTCAAACCCCGGGTCGGGCAATGTGTTATGGAGTGCCTATTTTAGGGAACCTAGAATCTATCTAATGTGCCCAATGTATGGCAATAGGCTAACCTCTGATCATAGGACTCATTGCATAAACGGTAAAAAGTGGGTGTACCATTTCATACTTCTGCCCTCATTTGTGAGAGTTTAAAGGCTATTGTACCTACATGTAATTTTATAACAATTTCTACTCCAGGTGCCCCGAGACGTGAGAAGTTCCAGTTCAGAAGTCACTGAGGCTGAGGAAGTCGACAAATTGCTACTTTCAAACAGTAGATAACAATTTATGCCATGGAAAGTCTTTATAATGGCCTAAACAAAAAGGGCTTGTAAAAAAGTAGTGGAAATAATTTAAGTAATTCTGCAAATAAATAACTTGAAACATAAAAGCGAATACAGTTAATATCGGTATATTTTTTCATTGAAAATGAAAAAGAGGGTATAATATTATTTTTCCATTTACATGTTTAGGTCTTCTAGATAAAATTGTAAGTACCTATAAGTCGGTAAGGTAGATTTATTATATACCTAGTATAATGCGCAACGAATTTAGTATTATTTTGTTGATTTTTGATTGAAATATTAGATACTAAATAAAATATTCCTATTATAATAATTTCGTTTTATTTACCTACGCTTGTTCTTCATACAAAATCTGTTCCTTCATTGCGAGAACGCCTACTTGTTTATATTAGCAACTCCGAGATAGACTTTTTTGCTATTAGGTGGTGATAGGTACTCTGTCTTACTGTTAGCTGACCGTTACAGTTATTCGAACTGATATTCGTAAATGAAATAAATAAATATAATTAAACAAATGGGCTTGTGATACCGTTTAATCAAAATGGGTATATCTAGGTATTTTATGCAAATAGTAACTCATTATTATTTCATTTGAATTTCATGTTATATTGTGGTCTTATATTAATTATACATTACACTCGGCACGCATTGCGACATGGTGTAATACTACTGGCAAAATAGGATTACCTCCAGTTTTGTACCATTGTACCAAGTCATCTTCGAAACAAAAAAACGAGACTAATGCCACTTTGTTCGTCAAAATATGAGACAGACAGTATTTCATTTTTTTACAGAGCCCATTTTATTCAAATTTTTATTGATTGGTATTATCAAGAAAAAAAAAATCGAAATAAATAATGTCTTATTTTATTAAATGGCAATATTTATAGTTTTAAACATGGCAACTTGACAACAACCTGTCACTTTTTCTCAATGAAGCCGTGAGGAGGTGCTCGTACACATTGTAAAAATTGAATTGGTTTTAATTAAATAGTTTTCAAAACAGAATTACAGTGCCAATAATGTTGAGGTATCTCCTCGATAAGTTTTGGAATGAAGATGTGTGGTTGCCGCCAAATACGACATGGGCGGACATCGCTCCTGGTCCCGATAAGGCGGTGGTTTACACGGATCATACGCACGTTTTCTTTCCTATACCGTTAGCATTTGTGTTTATACTCGTGCGCTACGTGATAGAGAAGTAAGTAACTACAAATATTTTCATATATTATTTACAAGTGATAAAAAATCGTCAAGTTTGATAACCTATTAGCGCTAAATCGCGTGATGTATAATTTCGTGTGACGGAAGAAAAAAAATGATACACGTTCCTTTTTTAAATTTTCACAAAAATCAATGAAGCATGAATTAGAATGCTTAGAAAAATGCGGTAAAAGCGTCGATAGCGTAATGATGAATAATCAGCAATGTAATAGAATTCTTGTTTTCCGTTTATTTTATTTCCATACTCGTTACCGAGGAAATTGTCGTATTTAATAAATAAGAGTTTGAAACCTTTTTCGATCTGACATTAGCAGTAAAAAAGTTACATCCAATAAGATTGGTATCAGAATCTGTGTTGTTGATAGAAAAAAATCATAAAAAAGTAAGAGCATGGCATTACACATTATTGTGGATTGTCCTGTGTAATTTGAGCATAGCATGTTACTTCTCAGTACTTAATAGACTATACAGGAAATATGACTTCATGCTACCAAATATGATTAAACCTATACTTACTTGGTTTCCTTTCATGCCTTACATGCTTAAAAACTTTATAGGAATTCTGTAAAAAATGTTGTTATTTTAGTAATAAACACAAATAATCAGTATGTCTATTTTTTAGTTGTAAAAGTAAATAAAAAAATATATTTTCTCTTTAGATTATTCCCATCATTGATGTTACAATTTTTCACTCTTTACTGCTAAATCTGTATTTTACTCTAAAGCAAACATTACTTTAGTTGACTTTTCAGATTATTTTAGGGAAGTTGTTGCCCTTGCCCTATGATTTTCTTCTGTGTCACTTGTGTTTAGTAAAACATTTACCTACTATCAGTTAATAGTTTGTTATTAATTCTTCAGTTTGAGGAAAAATCTTGACTCAAAATACACATTTTATTATTTTCCTTTAACTAAACAAGACAGGTGTGTATATATGACTGATAAGTATTTTACGTTGAATTGTTTTATCTGTGTCGATACAAAATTACCTCATTTACAAACATTTTTGTTAAGTAACTGTAAAAAGGTAATAATTATGAACAATTTTGCAGAATTTATAGTGTATAGTTTATAGTTTATATTAATTTTATAATTAAAACTAATTACATACTTATTTTATTAATGCATAATATAGGTATGCAATCAAGATCGGATCAATTCCAGTCACAAATTATCAATTTAAGATTTAAGGTTGTCATGCTGTATTTTTATTAAAAAAAATATTCACCACTGTTTCTATTGACGTAAGAGATTATATAATCAAATATGTATTTTCCCTGTAATCATAATAATATCATCATCTAAAGTTTTTTACTATGAGTCACTGTACCGTTTTCCTTAAAATTTTCATATGACTAAACATTCGTTGCACAACGGAGTTCCCTTGGCTTTTTACTCCTGATGGACAGGTTCATGAGTCGCTAAGTGGCAGTAAAATTGATAAACAGTAGCCATAAATATTCTCTAACCATCAAACAACGCCTCATTAATTTCAAATATGTTACTTAGATAACTTACTGACTATTCTTATACAATGTCTAGAAAAACACACTTGTTTGACTAGTTCTACCTTATGTGTAACTATTTACTATTTTATGTACTTTGTGGTTCGGTTGTTAATGTGATGAAAAATTTATTGATCTTGGATGCTCAGCTGTTTCGAAATGTTTAAAAGTGTACTTAACTAATTTATCTTTCGCGTTTATAATTAAACTGGAACTACTTAAGTTCCAGTTTAACTTCATAAATGGATGGAAATCATCATTGCCTCTGGACTGTTTATCCTCCCCTCTGCTAGAAATAGCCATCTCCTATACCACGCACCGCGTCATTGAGCTCAATCTTCAGCTTTTAGTACAGGTACAGCCACTACCGGAACCCTACGGCCTTGATAACAGCAATTCCCTAAAATGCGTATTTTAATTAGAGCTAACTAACTTCACGCGGATGAAACCGTAAATTATGCACCTAAACCTTTCCCAGCAATCAATCAAACCTATTGGTGAAGAAGCGTACAAAAATCCGTCTTAAAAACACAGACAGAGGGACGCGAAAGGGGACTGTTTTAATAAATAAGTCATTTACTTTGATTCTAGTATGTATCATGTATGATTCAGACGTAGATTCGCGGACGACGTCCCGACTACCTAAGGTACATGAGCATCTAAATGCGGCTGAACGACATACGTAATTGGACCGCTGGACTTAGGTTCAAGAACCGCATTTCCGGCAGATTCCTGCCAATCCAGACCTATCGGGTGTCCATGTGGACATCCACAACACATGTGTGCTGTGATGCTGTGTAATCTACAAAATTATTTCAGTACCTACTTACATTTTGTGTCCCAGATATAACAGTTGCTCAAATACATATAGTGACTTCCTGATTTGTAAGTTACAGTTACACACGTAAAAACAAACATGAATTAGTCATACTGTCAAGTTTACACTTAAGAATAAAATGTATTTCCCAAACATTGAGTCATAATCATGATATAATATAGATTAAATACACATCAATTGAGTTATGATGTTATGTTATCTATATTATGACTATGGCTCTGTCATCGCATATTGATTGGCTAGATCGAATTGAGTTGACTTGGTCATTGGTTCATGAACCTGTTAACACTTCTATCTAGTTGGTGTCATTTACAATTCAAAGCCACAATTCATGAAGATGTATTTGCTATTACACTTAAGACTATTATTATGTGATTTATGAACTGACGCTATTATTCTAGCCTTTTTTGTATGTATTTGGTATGGAGCCAAAGTTCCATCTATGCTGAAGGTCTAAAGAACAATTAGGAAAATGAGTTCTTGTAAGATTTTTTACTTTGTACCTATGTCGTACTAAACTGCGCAGGGTTCGAATTTCGATTCTGTATTGAAACAATGAGGTATAAACACTTTGCGAAGGGATTTGAAGCGAACAGGAAATCCGCAATGGCTTCCCACTTCCCTAATTAATTGATTGTGTAAATTCCACGGAAGGAAACCTCAAAAGTTCGTACAAACTTCACCAATAATATTAACACACTTCTTAAACAAGACAAAATTAAAAGCAAAATGAATACTTTCCTTTTCATTGTTTGCACAGTCGCCAGCTCTTCGACCTACTCGCAAACTCAACATTCTTTAGTAAATTTTCAATCCTATCCTTTTCGCTATAAAGTTGAAAATATAGTACCTAAATCTGACGACGTCAACGTGTGATATTCAAGCAGAACATTTGACGTGCCTTCAAATGTGCTAATCTCCGGCCACAGAATGTAGGCGACCTTACCTTGCCATTTGTGTTCGTACAACAGATCGCATTGTAATATTTTTTCACATAGTTACGCGTTCGTGAAAATACACAATAACCGTAAATATTTCTGCCTAGCTGGTCTCAGTATTTGTCGTTTGTAGTTAACCTACATACTTTACGCAAATGAATTAGGTATATTTTCAGACGTAAACGAAGGATCTTTTGAAACTGAAAGAAATAGTACTTGTTATTGCTAGACGTTCTACTGGTCTTTAACAGTTAATAATCATCTATTATATATTTTATTTCCTATAGTTATAGTTGCTGAAATTATTGTTTCCCTATAGTCCGATTATATCAAACTATTTACTTCGCCTAGTAAATCGTGACTGATAGTTTTACGTGTTCTCCGATGCAAAACATTTTCTAACTTTCTACTTGTAATAAAAACTTATTACGCCATAGAAATTTCGTCAATATTCTTTACTGCTTTCCAAAATAAGCTAAAATAATGTTTTTCAAAGAATTTATTCAAACATCGTCCATTGTTGGACAAGGCCCACCTTTTGAGAAAATTTTCCATAATATATATCCCAAGCTTGGCAGGCGTGTAGAGTCCACAATGAAGGTAATCGCAATTAAGTCACCGTCTTTAGATGATATTGCTGCTCATCTCAGGTCGGCTAATCGCAATTTTTGGACGTACGCGTACCGGATCTAAGATATAACCTTATAACCTGTTATTATTGTATTGTACATATTTTGTTATGCTTTGTTTGTTTTTTGTTTATTTTCTTTACTATTTTAAGTTTATTATTAATATTTTGTATTATGTAAGTATTGGTAAATTTACTTTTATTTTTATAAATCTTTGTTTTTGTGTGTCTACTTGTAAAATAGATGCTTTTTCTTTCTTAAACAGACGTAACGTAAGTTCCAAATTCCATTAAGGCACTACCTTTTCATAAATTTAAACGAGGTTTAAGACACCTGCTAATTGACAAATGTTTTTACAGTGTGCTTGAGTATTTAGATTATAAATTGTAATATTTAATGGCTTGTGAATTGTAATGAATTGTATTTTTTTAATATGTGTGACATTCCTGTAAAATTGACATTTATAGAATATTGTGTGTGACATTTATGACATTTTGGGCTAATTTTGTGACATTTACTCTTTTATAACATTCATTATTTTAATTTTGAAACTATTATTTTAATTTAAAAAAAAATTTGTAATTTTCTTTGAGAGTATAACAAAATTTTGACAAGTCTGTAAAGTATCTACATTATTTTTGCACGCCGATGTTAAAGGCAAAATAAGAGGACGTAAGTTATTACAAAATTACAACTATCTGTACCTTATTTACGCAAATAAATAATTTTTGAATTTTTGAATTTTGAAACGTTCCTTAACGCTAAATTAATAACTTTCAGCCAAGATTTCCATTGCTACAACAGTTGACCCTGTAACTCTGTAACGGGGTAATAATACTTGTTATCAAATAATATAATAAATTAAAAACATAAATATCGGCTTATCGCCTGGCGAAAGGGTTATTAGTTCATGGACTTAAGACTTGACATTGTACAATGCAGTATAAATAATAACTTATAATAAAAAAACATGTAAACAGTCCCCCGAACTACATGTTATTCCAACAATGTTTATTAATGAATGCCGAGAGAACTGTTGGAAGACAAATCTTCCCCTACCGCTGAACAATTCACGGGTGACCATCATAGGGTTAAAGTTATTTTTTATGGTTTTATCACAAGTCATTCTGAATCCATCAAAACTCCGAAAGAGCATGATAGAGACGTTCATATATCTTTTGTCCTCTTTGACCCGTATTTATGTGCATATATATTTATAAGTATGACCTTGATTTGGTTTTGTTTCTATGATCTAAATATATTTCACAAAAATTTCGCTAAATAGTGCTGAAAATCGCATCGAATTTCACTCGGTAGTTTCGAAGATAGAAGCAAAAATTTTACTACCTCTGTTTCCGACTCTTTTATAGTATTGAAGATTTTATGTAAAAACGGAGAGCACAGCAGCCTCGACAAACAATGTCGTGTGCTTTATCTAGAATCCAAAATAACAACGAAGATAAGAGATAACAGACTCCTAAAGTAGCGTCATTTCTCTTATCAATTTTGAGTAGCTCTTAGTCTTTAAAAGAGTTCTGGGTTACCAAGAACTACTGTTTGTTTGGATTTCCCCTGAAAGCCTTCCTAAAGAGTTATGAGAATGAATGTTATGATTGCAAAATTGATTAATTACCAAAAATTTAGTTGATTTTGTAATAATCACTCGTAATGATAGCCTTGTGTAAATAAAAAAATTACGGAGTCTATTGGCGTACACACCTGAGTTAACTTATTTCTCAGAAGTTGGCCTTTTTAGAACTCTTTACCTAAACCGACCGAATGGTGTTCTTAATAAAAGTTCACCAACTGGCTATAGCGATACCTAATTCTAGGTCTTACAAACAAACCATATCGATCTGAAACGTTAGGCCTTCGTGAGGTACGGAAAGCTGTATAGCTTTACGTTTGTAACGCCAGAACATTTGGTGAATATGTAAACGGTACATTAAGTAATAAAGTACTTCAATTTATCTGTTGAGGACATTTTTAACTCGTAACTTTATTTAGTTTGTAACGCAGGTTTCTTGATTCATTTCTTTACCGAACAGCAGGAAGCAGCTTCAATACAATTCATCTTGGATCACACGGGACTATGTTTACGGGGGCAGTCATTCATTTCCAACTAATGTATCATACAGTGTGATGTTCCCTAATCCATAGGATAGGTACAGTGACATAAGATTTAAAATATAATATTTTTGCAGGACCATCATTGCTCCATTCGGCACATACTTGGGTATCAAAAACACGAAGCCACGACGAGCACCGGATAACTCTAAGCTAGAGAAAATCTACAAGGCCTCACCTAAACTAAAACAGGTAAATAATATACCTCTAATATTAAATTATTTTCTTCTTGCCTTTACAGGGAATTTACCGTTCTAGAGTAGTTCATCACATCTTATTATCATCAATGCAATCTATTGCAATGAAGCTGCGTGATATTATGAGTTCGAAATCTAAAATATTAGCTAGGGGATAAGACTCGAAATACATTTCAGCAGTCGTGCTTACAATTGGGATGATGCCAGGGTATGAAAATTGTCGCGGAGAACCTAACGGGTAACCGGGGCTCCGGCTCGACGTGCAGGAGAAGGAACGGGGTGGTTTTTAGTCAGTAAGAGTCTGACACTCCCTCCCGCCTCACCCAGGCGGGAGCAGTCATTCGATGATTTTCCCCCCTTAAAAAAAAAGGGTATGAAAATTAAAAATGTAATTAGTCCGTCAGTTATGTAATGAAAAAATATTAGACACGTATTTTTTATTTTGTTACACATAATAAAATGATACTCAGATATAACGAATCAAAGTTTAGGAGTGGTGACTAAAACGTCATTTCTACGTAAAAAATGTACATAGAAGTGACGTCACGCGACATTTTAAATCAATATATCGTCGAAAGTATTCGTTTCTGTAAGAAAATAAAAAATACGTGTCTGATGGTTTAAAATAATCTACTAGACGGACATTAAAATAAAAATTAGGCATCTACCCTATTATTCAACCAGGCAGTAACGCTCAAGGAGGTACATGCGGGTACTAAGTAGCTTAGTAATAAGCATTTGCGCACTATTACCCTGTTGGCATTTAGCTTTATTCTATCTGCGCTAGCGACTATAATGATATTCCATTATTTTTATATCCCTAGGTAAGGTAAAACCTTTGCCCTCCGTATATAAGAAAAACACTGTTGTAACTCATATTTCGTCAATCGTTTTTGCAGTAACTACGTTGATAGTTTATTACGACATTTTTTTTATTAGTTTAGGATAGTCATCTCACTACGTTAGGAGATTTTGTGAAATAGTTGGTTATTTAGAACTAAACTCTGCGGTAAGTAACATATAAATGTTTGTTAATTTTTAAATATACAATTTCTTTTTAAAATAACGTAAAAAGTGTAGTAATCTAATTTATATTAGTTTGACAAAATTGTGTTATTAATTTCCTATCTTTTTGAGATATTGAGAGATTGGGTATAATTTAGTTAGATTAGATAGTACCGAATAACTAATCCATCTCAATAACTTTAGATACAGTATCACAAGAATAAATATCGAGAAAACATTATTTATTTGAATACAACAATTCAAGGGTGCTCGACTAGATTCAAGTCACGACTGGGGCTCAAAATCACGAGTACCATGCGCGGCGATTGACAGTTATCTAAGCCAAGTATACCTCCTAATAAAATTCGTGTCTTACTCTAAATACATTCTTACAATAATTTTGCAAGGAAATATGTACGTGTGAAGCGTAACGATTTGTACCATAGGTCTGTATTTCAAATGTCAGTGCCAATGAATCGTATTAAAAATTCAATACCAATATTCTTTTAAGTTTAAAGTGAGTTCAGAGTTACAAGTTAAATGTCAGATACAATTGAATTTGTAGGCTTTGCTAGCTTCTGCTAGCGGTTTCGCCCGCATTACTGATATTAAATAGACGAGATACATATATTCTGACAACATGAAGTAACATTTATATTATACTAACGACCCACCCTGGCTTCGCACGGGTGCAATATGCATGTATTATACATATAAATCTTCCTTAAGAATCGCTCTATCTATTTAAAAAAACCGCATCAAAATCCGTTGCGTAGTTTTAAACATCTAAGCATACATAGGGTCAGACAGACGGCGGATAGCGACTTTGTTTTATACTATGTTGTGAAGTAGGAAGGAATATTATCTAAATTACAGTCGACATTAAATATTTTAACTTCAATGTTCTACTAAATTTACTTTGGATCCGAACCTTTATGGTGGTTGGTTTCTTTCATGTAAATTTTCATACAATCCATCAATCTCATCTTTAGTCTTATTGAAGAGCCATCCATCAACGGTTTGAAAATAAATACAATCATACAAACATAATACATAAGCGAGTCATAATTTTGTATGTCTGAGCGTATGTTTGTTGTTCCTTTTTTTCAATCTTTAATATATAAGTAGGGTTTTTTTCCTAAAAGAAAAACGTCAGGCCTATCATAGGATACAAAATTCAGTACATACTACAATGATGTAGCTAAACCCTTTACCAGTTTAGCTTGCCTTTAAACTTAAACATAAAATAATTAAATGATACAATCCCCTGAGGATGACATAGGGATGGGGTAATTTACACAAGCAAAGTTGCACGTAAAAGCTAGGGCTTATTAAAAGCTTCCATACATGGGAAGTGCGGAAATATAGGTCGTATGCGTCATAGTAATTATGTTAATCACATTTTAATGTTAGATAATTAATGCACATATTAAACTAAACTAACCACATTCTTCAACTGCAAAAATAACTTCAAAATAGTTTAAACCAGCTTATGAACTCAACAAGATGACTGAGGACGTTTTATATCTCGATAAAAATTAAAATGTCTAAGATAACACGATTCTTAAAACCTTGACTAATAAAATATACAATCAGAGATAAAATAATTGTTTCACGGACAAGCCTAAAGTTTACTGAAGTAGTACGACATATTCGTTATTTATATTACGATATGGTCATAGCCAGCCCTTGGCAGTCCTCTGTTATACTACGAGCCTTCGCTACATGTGTCTGGGTGTCTTCAGGTGAATAGGTTGCTTATGGGACGACGTGCTCCATCGTAGACCGCATCGGCGTTTACCACCAAGCGAAATAGTGGTCGAACGTCGACGTAGGCCTATCAAATATAAAAAAAATCTACATTGAGGTGTTTGCCAGAATCTCCACAATAGAAAAGTGGGTTGGAGATATGAGTTTAAAAGGTGCCATTCTTAACGTTTTTTATTAGGGTCAAAATATCAATGCCAGTCATGGGATCACGGGCGCAAGCGAGAAATTATTAGGTTATAAATAAAACGTAAATCATCTTTAAACAATGTATTTTACTTTATAAACAAGACTACAAGAAAATTACTATTTTTTTTATACTCTAGGTCCGACGACCACTGAATCACTGGTTTTCTTATAGATGCAAAATTTAAAATAGAACGGAGTTTAGGAACTTCAGGTGGGCCAATTAAAAAGGCACGGCGGGCGGACCGCAGGTTGAGTATAGGTCTAGAGCGCTGCGACCCGATCTCTAGCTTTTCCGGCTTCCTTTATCGGCTAGTACGACACCCGCCGGAACAGCAGGGATGGTGACACATTCGACTGAATTCACCACATGGCAATTTAATGGAATAATAAATGCCATTACAATCAAGTGGTTCCTAAATGCTTGGCAAACTATGTAATCTCTTGATATCTACGGCAAATATGTGAACACTACTTGAGAACGGCCGTTGGTGATAATGCCCTATAAATGTCTACAATACTTATAATTTTAATGTTTTTGTATAGAATTTACCGTCCGTGCGGAATATTTAAGATATCTCTCGCCATAGTTCCCGATATATCCCCTATAAGAATATCGCGACAAAAATAAATGGCGAAAGCAATTTTCAAATCGGTCCAGTACAAACAGACAAACAATAAAAAGATATTGTTCATTTTGGTCCTTAACTCGTCGAGTACCGGTTTTGTAGACACAATTATAGAACAATAGGTTGCGGTCACCGGTGACCGCTTGGTGTTTGACAGTTTAAACAGTAGCTAGCATTTTCAATTAATAGCGACGGATTAAACTGTCTTTGACACAAGTATCGTGTTGAACGAGCTTACACCACAACGCCGTTAAATATTACAAGTGGTTGCCCAGTGGTCGATAGTTTGCCATAATTGGTTAACGAATTCTTAATGCGTTTCGAACTTAATTATATAGTTACATTTTTAATTTTAAATGCTCTTACTAGGTAATTGTGTAGATTATTATATATTCGAGTACCTAATATTACTTCGATGCGTATAATTTGAACTGGTTTACGTGTATTTTTTTTATCATGCCGAACAAACTTTAATGCGTATTATTTGGTTATTATTAAGACGTATAAAACGTAGGTTTCGATTTAACGAAAACGGGCACTAAAAATCGTAAGTAAGCACTAATTAAATTGATATAAATCATAATACATAGTAATTTGCCATAAATTCCCCGCACGTAACTAATATATTAACCAAGTTTTCTAGGAAAAACATTAGTAATGATTTAAGATTTTAATTTTAGTATCCACTTCCTACCTAGGTACCTAATATCATCTACCAAGTTCTAAAAGCATCACTAACGTGACCATTTATTTTTTGGTCACAACGGGACATTCGTTTATCTAGGTTCAGTCAGACATCTTAGAGAGTTAGATCCTATTATAGAACCTGTAAACACTCACTACAAAAAGGTTAACACTACTAACTGCACAAAAATGCAGGTACCTAAGTGTGGGAGAGCCATGCTTTGGCACGAATGGGCCGGCTCGACCGGAGTGATACCACGGCCTCACAGAAAACCGACGTGAAGCAATGCTTGCGTTGTGTTTCGTCGTGTGAGTGAGGTTACCTCAGGCCCAACTCCCTCCCCCCTTCCCCAATCTCCCCATTCCCTAAATCCCCAGCAATCCTCAAACTCCTAATCCCTAAAAGGCCGGTAACGTACTTGTAACGCTTCTGGTGTTCCAGGTGTCCATGGGCGACGCTGATTACTTACCATCAGGTGATCCGTCAGCTCGTTTACCGGTTTTTATATGCCATAAAAAAAACTTAAACTTTTTTGACTGTACGTACTTCGTCAAAAATTAGCGAGTCGCACATAGCACATAAAATTTTGGCATGGTTTATGAAAACGGGACAATTTTGCGTTCCCATTTCAGGGACATCGGGACTTGTAATTATAAAAAGGCACAGTCCCGTTCAAAACGGGACGTCTGCTCACGTTAAGCATCATCCAATAAGGAAGGAACTTTCGAATTATAATATTGCTTGGGAATTAAACCGAATATTAAATTAATAATGGGGCATTTAATCAATTATTATTATCAATATTAGGTATTATGAATAAACACTAATCGTCGTAATCAATCAATAATTACATGTGTCACACCATTTCACTATAGATAACTAATGACTAAAGTTGTTTTTACGTACGATTACATAAAATAAGGACGCTTCGTCATTTGATTGCAATTCGGCATTAAAATGATTACAAGTGTGTAAACAATATACCTACGTACGTAACTTAGGCCTTTGGTCTTGGCTTTAGACATGACCTGGATGTTAATTTTAGGTGCTTTATTAAACTCAATCCCTCGATGCACCTTAGCTATGACAGGCTGATTTTAATTATGAATTCAACTTATTCTTCTACTCTTCAAAAACGGGTCGTTTCTCAATATGTTCCCTTGTAGCTCTCTGCAAGAGGCATTATTTAATCTTATCCAGTTTTCATTTAGACATCATTTCATTAACCAATGGATTTTCTATTGCAATCCGTCTTTTGTCTAAACGTCTCCGTCGTGTGTCTAAACGTAGATCCACGCGAGACACAATGTATTTTCTATTGTGTGTCATATCGGTGCATTCAAGCGGTTAAAGTTTATTTGATGACATCATCTGCTTGAGAATCAACCACTTTCAATGTCTAAATTTATATTATCAAAAGATTTATATGATAATGGATGATAAATGACTTTCCCTCCCTATATTACATTGTTTAGGATATTATCTGTCACTACCAACACAAATTGAAATACACAAACCACCCGCAGCATCACCAACGTGACTAGGGTGAAAATTATACAATAATAGCTACTATAGTGAGTCAGCATGGCGTCCATATCTTTATTTTTCACACAAAATCGCAATCAATACTTACCACAGATATATTAAACTTCTGTGCTTAGGACCTACAACTTTTTTAACATAGCAGTGACACTCCTACATTGGTTAACCATATCAAAATTCATGCAGTAGTTTTTAAGATTTTTCACATTCATTTATTTAAGTGTGGGAGAGTCATGACGTGACACAACACTTGCGTCGTATTTCATGTGAGTGCCGTTACCGGTGGCCCAATTACCCTTCCCAATCTCTCTAATCCCTGAATCCCCAACAATCCTCAAATGGCCGGTAACGCAGTTGTAACACCTCTGGTGTTCCGGGTGTCCAACGGCGACGCCGATTGCTTACCATCAAGGGATGTGATTCGCCTGCTTGTTTACGGCTTATCCCATAATAAAATCAGACTGACAGTTATGAGGTGAGGCAAAAAGGCGAGTGATGTTCATGTATCCAATAGTTTTTGTATGATTATGTAACAAACATCCACACGTCCTCGCTAACTCGTGTATGGTAGGATAAGATAGTTTATCGTACTGGCTATTACCAAATTATCAAGTACATACGTTTTGGTAAATATTACTCATATAGTATACCTGATATAGTATATATAATCATATCTGTTTGCAAATCGCGAGTGCCTCCAGTGCATTTTGAAGGCGCAGATCTAATTTTGTTTATGAATCATTTTTTTAAAGATAAATAATGTTGATAAATATGATCTGTATTCTGTTCGATTTGTGACATGGGCCTTTCTTCTTAATCATTTTTGAAAGTATAAAACCCACACGTAGATATTTCTAATATCTATATGAAATGCACGTGCTAAGTAGGCAATGGGTGCCGTTGTAATCACACTTGGAAAAATATCTAACAATGCAATGCTAAAAAAACTGATTGCTTTGTTGTTTCAATGGTGCTCGGACATTAAAAAATGAATGTGCTATAAACCTCAACATAGTGTTATTATACCACGTTAATATTTATTAAAATCGTAAGTAATTTTGATAAACAACAAATCGTCAAAAGAGATCAAAAAAGTATTTTAAGCTATTATTATCATTACCCACAATCTAACGTTATATATCAAAAAGTACGGTAAACGATAACTATCAATATAAACAAAAAAATTGCTCGTAAAATACCACAATTATAGGCATGAATACAGAATTATGAAAATTGTATGAAGAAAATTATTGCGGTCACACTAAGATCAATAATATTTCACTGTTTGTCTTCACTTACGAATATCGATTCAATACAAGGTTAAAAGTAACTTGAGGACAAAACTGTGAACTATGTACCTATGGAAATCAAATTATTTTCCACTTAAAGGTAATTTTCGTATATTAAAATTGTATTTCGTTGACTTTGATGACGACTTTGGTCTCTGTTGATTGTGTCGGGTCTGATATAGTTAACGCCACATCGGTTCTTGTATATTCGTAGGAAGCATGGCGTTGAAATTTATTTGGTATTCTAATAGCCTGGCGAAAAGTTGATACATAAATACACTTCAGTTTTCTTGTAACACGTAATATGTATCAAAAGACGGTACACAAGACACTAGTCACCACTTATGTGATTAGTCTCACTTAGTAAGGGGCAAGATTGTTGCGTGGTACTGAGCAAATCAGGACCCGGTATTCAATCGGGGACTATAATATCCTTTAAGCCAATGATACACTAGGGAACAAATGTACCACTACATGTATCGGCGGCATGTCGAGCGAAGCCAGCCGATGTCGCCTGACATATACGGTGACAACGCGATGTCCACAGAGACGTTGATGTTGCCAAACATGTCGAGCAAAGTTCGGCAACGTCGCGCTACTTCACCCGACGTTGATGGCGTCACGTGTCGCAGGACATTTGTCCCTTACTGTACCCTTAACTTTAAGAATATCAAGACGCAGCAATTGAATAAGACTGAAAAATAAACTTCTGTGTGGCAATAGCTAGACAAACCGCGATCCATGGTAGAAACGTCAAACAACAGAGTCAATGTAATTGATAATAATTTAACCTTATTTGGCGTGTTTTCGTTGAGTTAGAAGTATTAAAATTACACAATTTATCTTTGCATGGGAGAACAGCTCACTCTTATCTATACATTTTATTGCCATCGACTCTGCTAAGCCTGCTATACAGTTATCGGCTATCAATTTTTACGTGGATCAAATGCCCTCGTACTATATTTACTAAAATTAAACAAGCATGTAGAATCGTTGGTTCGGAGATATTGCCGCCTACTTATACCCACGTGGATTTACTAAATTACTACCCACTCTGCTAGTCCTAGATATCATTCGTAATACTTATAAGATAATGTAACGCAACTTCATCGAAATATTTTTGTTCATTTTCCAATAGCAATCGTTCTCGTTTATTCTTTATGTTTTAATTTATCCCATTTGATTGGTATCAGGTTTTGGTTCTGTTTCGAAAATATATTTTATCTTTATGAGCTTATCTTAAGATTTAATGATAACTAATGCACCATGAATGAATTTAGTATTAACTTGATTAATTACGTTTATTGTTAATTTGTTTATCTTTGTTTTAAAAGTATTGTTTGTTGCGTAAGGCGTAGCTGGATTATAATTTTCAAAATAATTGTCATTGAAAAAATATCGTATTTTCAACTGCATTAACAAAATTGTCTTTGCCCACATGCGATTAAGATTTTTCTCGAGTAGGTTCCGTTGCTTTAGGAGAATCAGAAAATAAAAAATCAAATGCAAAAGGATGTTTAAAAAGTAAAGAATCCTATGGCGAAAGAATTTTTCAAATACGTCCTAACTAGCACAAGTTTTCTCTCCGTCTCTAAAAGCAATACTAACTGATATCTTATTCTTTTCAGCCGGAGATCTTAGCCAAGAAACTCGATATTTCTGAACGAGAGTTGCAACGTTGGTGGCGCCTCCGTCGCGGTCAGGACAAGCCTTCAACCCTAGTGAAGTTCAGTGAAAATGCATGGAAAGTCCTCTTCTATACTTGTAACTTCTCTTTCGGGTTGTATACGCTGTGGGACAAGGAATGGCTGTGGGATATCGACCAGTGTTATATCGGATATCCTCATCAGGTAAGATATGTAGAAAACAGCTTTCTACCAACATTACTAGTAGTTATCTCACGATTAAAAAAGAGTTTTTTATATTTGATGATCTCCGACGTTTGACCACTATCTCGCCTAATGGTCAGCGATGATGCGGTCTACGATGGAGCACTTTCACATACATACGTATCACACCTAGCCTTGGAAGAACAATTAATTAACCCAGCAGTTAGTAGCTCAAACATTACACCAACTCTACTAAAAACTTTTTAGATAATTTTATTTATTTTCCTCTTAGCCACATGACTTTGGCTTGTGTTAATTGCCGAAGGTTTAATTTAAGTTAATTTAAACTCTGATCTTTTAATCTACACCGTTAATTATCTTGATAGTTTCATAATAATTATCAAAAAACATTATTCTTTTTTTAATTTTAGGGACTATTATACCGCACAGCGTATTTTTTTATCGCATTTATTGTGAGGGATTTTTGTACACATTTTGTGACGATGTCAATCCCATCGTGCTTCTACATAGCAAATGTATTTACAACTTAAACAAAAAAACCTAGTCTACTTATCTATTTAATGTAAAGGAAAATATAATTTTCGTAGCTTCCGATTCCTAGCTAAAATACCATTAAACATTCCAACATCAATTGCCGACAGTTTCATGGAGTTGAGAAGTGCATTTCTCTTATTTGTATATCGGATACATTCCACCAACACGTGCTGCACGTCTTCTATTCTTTTTTTTATTAAATAATTATTATAGAGACATAAAACCGTGATAAAAAAATACATATAACCGTAATAACTGTGCACAAAAAATGTCGTGTAAAATAAATAATTTGAACCTAATCATTGCACGTGTCTTCCTTAATACACATTTTTTGTTATCTTTACTGCAAGTTCTACGTGGCGCTAATAATAAAAACTTACTAGTTATTATGCACGACTTAGCATTTTCAATACCTGTTATAAAAAATCGAATCGAATTGTCTCTGAAAGTTAGGCTTTGAGGCCTGGTTCTTTCACTAAGTTTGGTAATTTTTAACCGACTTCAAAAAAAGGAGGAGGTTATACGTTCGGCCGGTAGGTATGTTGCTTTTTTTTTTGTATGTATGTACGCGCATAACTCTGATATGCGTGAAGCGATTTGCAAAATTCTTGTTTTGTTTGAAAGGGTATAATCCCGAAATGGTCCCATTTCCATGAAGTCAGGAACTGATGATGGGATCCTAGGGAAACCGAGGGGAACTTTCGAAATTTCTATGGGCGAGTAATGCGTCTATTATGTTTTTCAATTACGATTTTTAAACACTACAATTTGATAAGGGTCTGGAGTCGACCTGATGATAGAGCCGACAGACAGTCGAGGGAACTCCTTAACGGTTTATATTAACTACCTTGTGTTTGGGCTTGATTAATTTGTATTGATGAGGACTTTACACCTGGATAGAGTGAGGCTGTCATTAAGGGTCTGATGATGAAGAAGTGTAATTGTTAAGGGAACTCCTCAACGGTATACTGTAACTACCTTGTGTTTGGGCTTGTATAATTTGTATTGATTAGAACTTTGCAGCTATGTAGATTATAAGTAACAAAACGGGTATAATTATGTAGCTTTGCACTGAAAATGATAAAATAATAAAATAAAAACTGCGTTTAAAAAACCGACTTCAAAAAACCAAAAACTAATAACAAAAAAAAAGTCAAAACTAAAAAGCAAAAAATAACTATTATTAATACTGATAGGTTACCCACCCACTGATAGGTTAGAAGAAAATATTTTGAAATTTTCTAGACTAGAAAATTTCAAAATATTTTCTAGATTCTAAAAAAATTCAAAATACTTTGCCACTTCCTAAAGCGTTTATATTTGCGAGATAATCACGTATTCGCGTTATATAAAATCATAGCTCGGCCGTCATCTCATATGTAGCATATTTTCTTCATAAACGACACATGGTAACACTTATATTAATAGCCGTAAGGGTCCAATTAATTCTATAAACTTTAATTAAACCAAGCAGATGTTTTATCTGAACCTTAATTTGGCTTCACATAAATTAATTCCAATTATAGTTTAAGTACTCTTAATTATAATGATAGTTAATAGTTTTATAGAATTATATAAATTAAAAAATGTGTTGTTTATCGCAAAACTTGCGAATATCTGAACTTTGGATCATTTTTGTCTATACTCGGAATTTTAATTCGATTCCAGATTTGACAATTTCAGTGTTGCAACGTTATGACAAGTGCTAAATAGTGACGTTGCAAAATTATTCGATATGGAAATGCAATATTTCTGGATCGATTCTTCTCGTTTATAATTTTACTCTCGTAAACTAAGTATATCAGGAAATTAAATATTTCTGAACCGATAATTTAGTTTTGACGATTAATTAACGATCTGAGACTTTTCTTTTATAATTGTGTGTGAAATAAATAAAAAAATGTTATCATGAAGGAACATGACAAATAAAACAGATAGATGTATTATGGTAATAAGTTATTTTATAAATTGTCGCCGTCATCGCTTTCGCTACCTGTCACTTTCTGTAACATTTATTATAAAACACACACACTGATTGTTTATCGATTTTTGTGTGCATCACTACACTATTATATGTGGTATCATTATTTCACTAAATGACAGTAGCTATTGTCAAATCTGGAATCTAATTAAAATTCTGACTATAGTAACATGGTCGTTAGTCTGAGAAACATTCCCATAATGCGAAATATTCAAAATACGGACAGTCTGGAATCTGCTAGCATTTTAAACCCGCATATTATTATGGTTTCGGGAAATTAAAACCGCGATGTTACAATATCTAATCTGAAATGAATGGTAGATTAAGTTTACTTACTGTACCATTTTGAAATATTTTGAGTAGATATTTTTATAATTTAACTATCGTGAGACATGCTAAATTAACTAAAACTCCCGGGTTACTCACGTGAATATACTGAGAAAAGCTCTACTAGTTTCGAACCACAGAGGGGTTCTTCCTCTTGAGCAGTGTGCGCGGTCGCGGCGATTTTTTTTTTACTTACTGCGGTAGGCGGTTAGGTTAGGCTAGGTCGAAACTAGTAGAGATTTTCTCAGTATATTCACGTGAGTTTTAGTTAATTTATTTTGAGTATTCTATAGACTACGACACCATACACTCAGTGTATAGATCGAATGTCTCTGTACAAACACGTAATTTTTATTGTGTTTAATTTAGTTGTCATCCATAAATTACGTCACAAGAATTTCATGATTTTTTGCCCCTCCCCCCGTCCTTGTCACAGCTAGCCACATTTGTGAGACCCCCCCCCTAGTGTGACGTCACATTTTGCAGAATTACGTATGTATAAAAATTATTGAATGAAAAAAGCGGTTCTGAAAACAGTTTTAGTTCTATTTAAATTACTTTAAATGAAATGTAATAATACAAATCAAACAAAATAAAAAAAACAATAAAATGATATTTCGTGTTTTATAATAGTTTTTGAAATAAGTTTAGGATCCCTCCCTCCCCTTCGTCACACAATGTCACACTTCGTCGACCCCCTCCCTACTACCCCTTAACGTGTGACGTAATTTAAGGACGGCCATTTATGACACAATAATTTGTGTCGCATTATTGTTAGGTCAGAATTTGTTTCGTACCTTAAAGAAATTCTGGCTTGATTAAAACTAAGAATATTTTGAACGTTAAACAGACAAGGCTATCTAATACAAGATAATGACCTCTATACGGAATTTTAATTGGCTAAACAACGCTCAGACGATGTTTACGGTGAGGTTTAACAGACAGCTCGATTACAATATGCGATAGCAAACGAGATTCGCTGATAAGATTCGCAATAGATATATTTATATTGGTTTTATCGCTACTTGACTTGATACCTTTTGTTTTTTTTTCTGAAGGGAAAGAGGTACACGTGTTACATGTTGTTTATACTTCATATTTAAGAATCACTGGATTTTTGTAATTGTTTCCTATGCTTTTCGAAATATTGCAACGCTTGCGTTGTGTTTCGTCGTGTGAGTGAGATTACCGGAGATCCAATTACCCTCCCCTTCCCCAATCTCTCCAATCCCTGAATCCCCATCGGTCCTCAAACTCCTAATCCCCAAAAAGCCGGTAACGCACTTGTAACGCCTCTGGTGTTCCAGGTGTCCATGGGCGACGCCGATTGCTTACCATCAGGTGCTCCGTATGCTCGTCTACCGGCTTATGCCATAAAAAAAAAATAACACAAGGGCTGCAGCAGTTTCAAACAGTTTCTCTTGTGCGACGGGACACCGAAGTGAAGTTTAGTCAGTAATGAAGTCGCTTATTAGTTTTTGTCTTCACTCAAACGTGGTATGATAAAGATTTTTCAATTTCAATAAGGTCTCAAAAGTCACTCAAAGCCTTAGTTTGCTACAAAAACTAGTAAACACACAATAATCTACCAAAATACGCTACACCCATTCAAGCAATATGTAAAAAACTAATTAGTACCTGTTAGAACACTGACGCTTTGTAAATTGATGTAATTGTTGTACTAATGGCATGGTTGAACAAACCAATTGTCCTGCTAACTGTACTCTAATTGCAGACAATATTGTTTAAAGGTTGCTCTTAAAGTAATTGAGAGCTACGATTGACTGGAGATGAGTCAATTTATTCTAGTTTGTCAATGATGAATGAGTTTAGAAAAAAAATGTGTAAAGATCGTAGTACAAGTATAAAGCAAGTGATACATTTAACCCGTCGTGTGCTTAAACGCCGCTCCACTTGAGACACAATATATTTTCTATTGTGTCTTATATACCCGGGAATTAAATGGTTAATATGTACACCTCAGCTTGCTCCTATAGCCTTTATTCTACCACAAAATCTCATGCATCCAAATCAATATTATTGTTTGATTAAATTAATACGTTACATTTAGATTAATATATCATTTCAAATTAACTAAATAAAACAAAAATAAAATCAAATAAATTCCCAGTAAAGTTACTAATTAGTTTGTGGAAATTGCCTCAGTGGCGTAGGCCTCACCCAGTTTTCTCCATTTAACTCTGTCTCTTGCTTCTCTTCTCCATGTGGTCCCACAAATCTCAACAAAAATATCTTCCCATCTTCTGGTCTACCTTTATTTCTTTTCCTATCCCATGGCATCTAATCCATAATCTTTCTGGCCCATCTATTGCATGGCATTCTACACATTGCTTGCTCTTTAAGGTATTAATAATTCGTTTATAAACTACGTTTGAAAAAACCAACTTCAACCCCCTCTTTTTTGAAGTCTGGTAATTAATATACTTAAACCTTAACAAACACAAACTAGCATCAAAATCTGTTCAGCTAATCGCGCGCACAAACATACATACTTACTTACATAGATACATACAGGTCAAGAGAACCTCCTTTTTTTGAAGTCGGTTGGAAATGTGATATGAGATCTTAAGCTTGTCCTGTTACAAGTGGAACCTGTGAGTATCTACTTACTATGCATGCGACGGCGCTGACTGTGGTTCAATGCGAAGAGCTGAAAATCGACCTTCAAAGGCGTGTTGCTATCGAGGCTTAAATCCAGCAGTGGTCACAAATGGATTGATGATGACGATGTCTTAATAGTTACTATTTTTTTTTCAAGTTAAGCTTTGGTCTTAGTTTTTTCTAATCCAGAATTTTATATTTAACACCTCACTCTGAACATTAGAACAAGTCAACGACCAGAGTCGCTTCCAAGACAACGTTAAAGGTCACCAAAATAGACGTTTTATAAATATCTCGCTTCCTATGCATCATATCATTTGCATTTTATTTGTTGATTACGACTTGTAGAAAAACAAAATTCTTTAACGGTTTTGTAGAACAGGTGCTTTTAAATCTTATGTAATGTTGTGTTATATTGTTGACTAAAGCTATTTCCCACGTTTCTGTTTCTGGGCTTTGTTTGTAGATCCTAGGTCACTACCTACTTCAGTCCTAAGTTACACTTAATTTAGGACTAAAGTAAGTCTTAGTTTACTATTTCGATTGCTTACAAGTTTTCAAGGTTCAGACCCAATAATGTAGGTATAGACATGTAGTACACAGTAACTAACAAATACTTCAATTTGTAACAACCATATTACCATAAAAACAAAAGGCAAAATTACCTAAAATACTCAACAAAACATACTAATTTAAGAAATGTATTGTTTGGCCATTATGATAAAATATCAATTTATTATACGGTCGACAAACTTTATTAAATAAAAAGAAAAAAAAATGTATGACGCTGATAACTGAGGAGGTCAAATCACCGAGTTACGTAAGGTCCCAATAAAACATCACCACATTCTACAAGACCCCGTCTTGCATTAATTTGCTGAACCGGTATCGTTTTACCACAAACTTGAGACAGTTTTACACAATATATTTCTTACATAATGTATTGTTTTGTGTTATGTCTCGTCTTCTTCTGTATATATTACAGTGAAACCTGGTTAAGTGAGACATCAAGGGACCTGCAATGTCGTTTCACTTATAGAAGTATTCCACTTACCCAGTGTCTCTGAGATACACATGTATAAATAAATATATGTCTCATTTACAGAGGGTTCCATTAAATTGAGGTGGACTTGGAATTACGTGTGGAATTTGTGGGTAGAATAAGAATGAGTAAACAAACAATGTTATCTCAGTTACAGAGGTTTATGCATATAAAATTTACTCGCTGTCTCGGTTATAGAGGTAACTATGATGATAAATCGAAAGAACAAATCCCAGATATAGAGGTTTACTTCGTCCCACTAACAGAGGTAATTCAGTGCCTAAGTGTTGGGACCTCAGCATGAGTTCCAGTTATGGAGGTTTCTCACTTATCCAGGTCCCACTTAACCAAGTTTCACGGTATTATGTTTTCCTGAAAACATAACGTGGGTAGGGCTTTCGTTAGAGTCCTGGGCAAACGTTGGATGCAAGCGACGAGTTGTCGTTCAGCGTGGCATCTAGTTTTCTGCTTGATATGTCTAGAACGTTATGTTAATGTTCTCGTTCTCAATTCCAGGGCCTCACTAACGACATCTGGTGGTATTACATGATATCAGCAGCCTTCTATTGGTCGCTGACATTCTCTCAGTTCTGGGACGTGCGTCGCAAGGACTTCTGGCAGATGTTCGTGCACCACATCGCCACCATCCTACTGCTGTCCTTCAGCTGGGTCTGCAACCTGCACAGGATCGGGACACTCGTGCTCTTACTGCACGACTGTGCTGACATATTTGTTGAAGTAAGTTGATATCTTAAAACTCAGGTAAATGTCTGAACTGTGATCTGTTCATCACTATTTATAAACCTTATACTGGACAAGATGGTTTCGAATTGATTCTACGTTTTCTTTGACCGAACTGCGATCTCCAAAGCGCGTGTTAAGCTTGTGGTTTTATTGGGAATCCCTGAATGTGCCTTTTGCCAGGAACTCCTTACGTCTATGTCATAAATTTTAATATTGTAATTTTAATATTTCAGTCTGTGAAGGCGTCTAAGTACGCGAAGTACCAGAAGCTGTGTGACGCGCTGTTCCTGATGCTGATTGTAGTATGGATCGGTACGCGTGTCGGCATCTACCCCTTCTACCTTATTTGGAGGTGAGATTTCTACAACTACATTTTGGAATTGATGGATTGAAAAGCCGTGGTTTTGGTTTTCGTATGAATCAAAGTTGTATGTCTTCCAAAACACAGGCGTGCAGTTTCTTAACCTTTTTTTACTTATGCTTAAAACTTTCGAGAAAGATACTTTCACAGTTACAACAATTTAGTCGGGTAGAGGATTTGTGATCGCGAGAGGATCTCCGGCCACCGTAAGCACGGGCCTGCGGACGGCGAGCACGGGTGACTGGCCGTCCGGCCAGAACCAGACCCGAGCATACGGCGCGTCGCGTTCCGCGCGCGCCTTAAAGAGCCATCAGAGACCTTAGTATGAGTTTGTTTTACGTTTAAAGTATTCGAAACGAGTACGCGTTCGGCGCTGGGATTGGTTGCTTCAATGGTGCCGGCTAATCAGAGTGACGAAGACATACTCGTTTCGAATACTCTAAACGTAAATCAAACTCATACTAAGGCTTCAGACCGCCACAGATGGGGCCCAATAGGGCTGATGCCGATACGGAGCCGCTGAAGACTTAACGGGTTGCCGGGGCTCCGGCTCGAAGTGCAGTAGTACGAACGGGGTGGTTTTTAGTCAGTAAGAGTCTGACACTCCCTCTCGCCTCACCCGGGCGGGAGATGTCATTGGATAATTTTCCCCCTCAAAAAAGGGGGATTTGTAAATCTCGAATTCCTTGAAACTGTTTACTTAATATGAACACTGCGCTAGTACTTTATAGGTCTATTTTCCATAACATAAATTGTGAAATAATGATTATAATTGTGTTATTTCCAGTACATCAATCCGCGCGCCCATGTTGCTCCCGATGTTCCCCGCCTACTACATCTTCAACTCGCTGCTGTGTCTGCTCCTGGTGCTGCACATAGTGTGGACCTGGCTCATACTGCAGATCGCATACGTCGCTATTAAGATCGGACAGGTATTATTAAATCATTGTCTTGTCGCATGTCTCGGGGTCTCGGCTTCGATTCCCGGGTCGGACAAGGTATTACTGGTTTAAAAAAAATGTCAGTAGTAGCACGGAGTCTGGAATTGTGCCCGGTATATGGCAATAGGCTTACCCCCTATTACATGGGACTCATAAATAGTGAAACGTAGGTGTTACATTGTACAGTGGCATTAATTGCCATAACGTGCACCTCTGCCTATCTCTTCGGGGATAAAAAAGGTGTGTTTCTTAAAACATTAGGCTACTACTGATAAATTTTGCTTCCATATATGATTGTGGGAAACAACAAATATCGAATCGTATTAATATTATAAATGTGAAAGGTTGTATGTTAGTTTATTTGTTCACTTCACGGCTGAAGGGGATTTGGAACAGGAGTAGACACGGGAACTTGGGCGAAGCCGTTGGCAGAAGTTAATCAAATTATAAAGCCTTATGTAACTTTATATGTACCTTAGGAGAGTATGTGTTTTTGACACCTCAAAAATTGTCTTTTCTCTACCTGTAATAGACCTGATTATACAGCTCGACAGCTTGTTTGTCTCCTCAGTGGTATGAAGCCCATCCTTAATATTGTGTAATCAATTTACAGATGGACGGCGACATCCGAAGCTCGAGCTCCGACCTGAGCGACAGTCCACACACCTCAAACAACAGCTCGCCCACCCGGTCGAAGAGTAGAAAGTAAGCACACCATACATTATTCGTTTTCACGTGGGAAAGTCATAGTTTTGCAAAAATGGGACGACTTTACTGGACTGACTGACTGAAGAAACTGCCGTTGGTCGTCTCTCCTCAGTTTCAAAGCACCCCCCTCACTGCCTCAGCCGGTATTGGAATACTTGGTGTCAACATTTCGAGCGACGTCCAGTTTTGCAGTCATTTAGAGGATAAGGCCAAATTAGCCTCGAGGAAGCTTGGTGTGCTCAATAGATCGAGGCAGTATTTCACCCCGACCCACCGCCTGCTTCTATACAAGGCACAGGTGCGGCCCCACATGGAATACTGTTCTCATCTTTGGGCGGGAGCACCCCAGTACCAGCTTCTTCCTCTGGACCGCATTCAGCGGCGTGCCGTTCGGATTGTTGGATGTCCGGATGTTTCAAACCGGCTCGACACTTTGGCAATGCGTAGAGATGTAGCTTCATTGTGCATTTTCTACCGCTTATACCACGGGGAGTGTTCTGAGGAATTGTTTGACCTGATACATAACATGTCAAAAAATGTTAATAGTAAAACTGTACAGGGTTATAAGTAAAATCCAGTATGAGATTATACTTATTATAGCAGACTTTGACGTCGCTGTCGTTTATATGAATAATGAAAAGTAATAGAAACTACTTAATTCAATACCTGGTTAAGATCCAAGCAGTCACCAGTGACCGCTCTTCACTTACACCATTATAGACCTTATTTCCGATGTTTAGAGACTACTTTAATATGAAAAAATGTTCTAGATTTTTCATAATCATACATTTACGAACATAATTAAAGAAATAATTTTTGTTAATAAAATTACTATAAAGTTATAAATGTATATCTAACAGCAAACTAAATTTCCAGGGACACGTAGAGTAATACACGGCAGAACAACACCAGAGTCTAGCGACAATAACACAGTACTGTGTACCACACAACTATTGTACAGGATCAACTCGCTCCGTACTTCACACCATACATTGCGACTCCATACTGAAGTTAGCTGCGAATAGCGGCGCCACCGTCGCTTTTAGCGTAAGTTCCATAATGAAATTACGTTTTGTGTCTGGTCTCTGTAAGTGGTAATGGGGAAGATTGGTCTAATAATTTGATTTGGAGATTCAGTTGCTATTTTATAGAGAAAAAGCTATAAAATAGTTATGTATTGTTTTGTATTGAGTAAATTAACTGCTATAATTATCAATTGATACTGAGATCTCAATAACATAAATAATTATAAATATAATAATTTGGTCTGACAGGATTTTAAATTTCTACAGCGCCCGTCAGGCCGACTCGAATCTTCCCTATTACCTAGTACATTACATTTGATGATATAATCTGTATTAATTTAGAACTTAATCAGTCGCAATGGTGTACGGACTTTAGTTCAGTTCAGTATGTGGCGTATAGTTATGTAATATAATTATTGTATTTTGTGAGTTAGCTTTGGATATGTTGAGGCTTTCTGTAATTGGGTAGGCAGGCCAGGCTCGGGATGTTTGGTAATCGTTATCTGTGTTTTTTTTATAGAATCGAGAGTTTGATTGACTATTTTTTCATATTGGAGATGGTATATATTTTTGGTCTATATGACTCGTTTTTGTTGGATTTTATATGAAAATTGTATCTATTGTGTCTAAATCTACAGTTATTGAGTTTTGACTGTTAATGAATATGGTTTAACTGAATACCTTCTCCATTTTAACTCTTCAAACAATAATAAACCTTTTCTCTAGTAGAGAAAGTATAAATTGATTTTATGACCAGTTTAGATAGTCAATCTTATTCTTGTTACCTTTGTGCGAGGGTCCCATAAGAGTTAAAGAACAAATTATTTTAGTTATATAAATAAGGAAACCGTATGATATTATTATTGGCTGCAATGTTACTTAGGTAGGTATGGTCGAATATGTATGGAAGTAACTGGTTTTTGGTCTAAAGAAAGTTTATAAGTTATGTTGGTTCAAATTCTGAATTGATATTATAGTAGTTTGAATACTTACTTGTTTAATTTCCAAGTACTCAACCGCTACTCAATTTTAGGTCGCGCATATAGTTCTGTGACTAGAAATTCTTTGTATAATGACAGAGATGCATATTTAAGTCAAACTTAAAATAGTAGTCTTTCAGTATTTGGGCGTAATCTCTACCACAGACTGAAAAGTCAAACCTAATAATTTTTATTTTATAGATTTCTATATACAATATACCAAAAACAGTTACTCCATACAAGCCTCACACAGTTGTTAACATAGATAGCGATTACCAATACAAGTATTTATTTCTTATATTTTGTATATATTTCAATCGTTACATATGAGAATTAAAAAATATACTTGGCAGATCTACATTCATATTTAACGATTGAAATAGAATGGAGTTATTGAGATTATGGGATATAACGGATAGTGAGGCCTCAAGGCTTGTAGCACTTAGAACAATATGGAGGCATTAGTTGTAGAAACTACCGCGACGATGGCGCTAGTGGGCATGACGGACGTCTCAAAGATATTACCAAAAATAGAATTAATTTAATTGAGCACAAAACATTTATTTTATACCTATGTATTTCAATATTACACATTGAAAAGATTTGAAAGTCAAAGTTACTGCCGTAAGTCAATGGCTACTAGCTCCATCTAGCGGTCGAATGCACTCCTCATAAATGACCAACGCCAATTACGTCACAAGGCAACGTATAATGATCCTAACCACTGCTGTTCTAAGATTGAATTTTGAAAAAGTTCTGAAATTTGTGTATTGTGACGTAATTAGTGAACAGTCTATATTGAATGTTTATAAATATTTAGCGTAAGCTCAATGTGTAGGTGTAAGTTGAACAGTGAGACGGACCAAACATAGGAATTCCGTTCGTTTGGTAAAGCCAAATCGTAGCTGTTTGTAGTTCAAGAACATTTTGTGGGCCGAAGTACGAGAAAAATAATAAAATTATACTCTACATTTTTTATTTTCAACGCTCGTTAGCAGCTATCGGGCAGTTTCAATCGAATATTTTATGAATTATATGTTATAGTTTAATAAAATTAATTGTACACCTAATCGGCCCACGACTTATAACAGGGACCACGTAGTTGGACTAGATTTTCTCAGATACAACACCGATCTGACTGCGTATTTTCGAACTAAGATATTTGCAAAATATTCACTGTTTTGTCGGTAAAAAAATAAGACCTATGTACGATAAACTATCGTAGTGTATTTTACACACGCAGTTAGATAACAAAATTGTTTATTTTTCTATAAAAAACTTTAATACCGTTCCTTCCCGTATATTTTTAATTCTGATGTTAATAACTGCATTCCGTTTGTACCTAATATTTAAACAATATACAACAAATATTTTTTGTTTTCGACTGATTAAAATTAAAAAGAATATAACGGTTACTTCGATTTTCGAACTACTATTTTTTTAAAGTTACGGCGTGGTATTGCCAGCCCTAAAATATATATTTTCACTACGGCAGTTTTGGAACTCTTTACTGTTACTCTTACCGTATATTGTCTATGTATTTATTAGAATTTAGGATAAACGTTATGTTACGTCGTGTCGTTTGAAATGTGAACTTTCTTAGCACTACAAATAATATATTTTGTATGTCTATTTATGAATTTATATTATAAATTAATACGAATAATTCCACTACTTGGAATTGATGGATGATCTTTTTGAGGGAAACATTGAAATAGTATTTTATTATACCTTTGTTGACGTTATAAACGTTTGGTCTTACGGTTTCATCTTCCATGCAATTCCTTACTAAGTAATAGAACAGAATAATGTAATAGTATTTAATAGTTGTTTAAGTATTTATGTGTGTACTAACTCAACCACTGTCTGCTTGAAATAAAGGATAGTTGATCTATTCTTAGTGTTTGTTACAATACATCCATTGTAGTCGATTAAATAGAACAAAGCGAGCTTCCCATAGCATCAAAATAAGTAGCTTCCCCCTTATCCGATTTACACATACCTACTTCCATATGCCGTAAACGTAAAAAATGGCTTCCTGCCCTGTTTGAAAACACTTTCCAATTTCATAACATGAAGAGTTATTTCCATGGCCTTTAGGCCTTAGGCAGTCAGGTTAAATAGATGTGAACCTTTCTCATTCAAAGTCAAAGAATTTATTTTAACTCACATACAGACTAGGAAACGTCCCTTCAGTCTGCCTGTCACCTGTCAGTGAATCTAAGCTCTTTAGTACTTGCAAAATAAAAGGACAGTGGTAAACAATATAAATATAATCTAACAACTTGCTAACTTAATGCGAGCGGTATAGCTCGTTCCATCCAAATGGACGACGTCTAACTTCTTGTTACTATTTCTATGCTAGTTACGTTATGTTAAGATTTGCACCTTAATCCAATGTTGTTAACAAAATTGTGTATTTTGTAGAAGCAAGTTGTCTGTTTGTGGGCAGTATTTTCTTTAATAGAGATGACGTCATAACATGTGTCGTACATTCTTCTTCTTATAGTCTTGATCGAATTCGATTGTTTGTACTTGATCGGCATTTGGCCACTATCTATTTATAATAATGAAACCAGTGAATGATGCCCTAAATAGATAACTTGCTAAACCAAAGCTAAAATGTTTTTATAATAACTATCGTGAGACATATTAAATTGGCTAAAAATCGCGGGTTACTCACGCTGCTCATGAGGAAGAACCCCTCAGTGGTTCGAAACTAGTAGAGCTTTTCATAGTACAGTATATTCACGTAAGTAACCCGCGATTTTTAATTAATGCTAAATATTTAGATAACAAATTGTCACAGGACATGTGCCTTATAATTAGCGCTTTGAAGTATGTCTTTGTAACTCCAATACACAATTTTGTTGATAACTCCATACATTTTATCTGCAAAGGTTTTTTATGAATTCCTACGTGTAATGTACCCACGTATTAAGTTTTAGTTCATCACAATATATTGTTTTAGTTGTTATCTTATTCATACTGTTGAATATTTCTGTTCACCTGCTATAATAGGCTATTTGTATAAATAAGCAATGATTTTAGTTGAGTTTCGTATGTTCTAAGGCTCTGTTTCATTGTTTTTGGTTAAGTTTTCAGTGGTGTTTACTAGTAGGTAAGCTAAATGAAACTTAATAGATAGTGGTGAAATAGGCCCTACATCAAACTTCATGAATTTTCTTGCGTACAAATTCTAGTACGGTTTATTCTGGTTTTACCCGACTACGGCGAAGCCAAAAGGAGGGTTATTTCTTTAATGAAAAATGTTCTGTTTGAATTTTAACCGTTGTGTAATATTTTTTGTTCCATAAAATTAATAGTTTGATCTCTTCTTTGGGCGCATTTCTTATAGGTTTTATTATTAATCGACTTCTACATTCTATATATTATATATGCATTATCTATTTTGTGAGGTTTTAATATATTTAAGTTGTATTTTTTGATGTTTATTTAATCAGCTTTTATTGCACATGCCGTCTAAGATAAAAAGAAAAAGATTCCAATTAAAGTTTTGGCCATATTTTGATAATAAATTCTCAATAATGTACTTGTTCAAGTATTTACTGGATATCTATGTATTGTATCGTACGAGTACGTTCTAAAGTTGTCCTAATTTATAATGCATGCGCTTTTCTACTTAGATAGGTTTTGTCTTGTTATCGTATGTAGGTAAATGAAAATTATTGCAATGTCTCATTTTCTGATTAATATTGTCATGTAACTTGTTGTTTCATTAATATTTTGTAACTATCATTAGTGTAATGTATATTGATGTAACCAATGACTTTGTTTGTTGAAGCTCAATATTTATTTCCTTCGATATTAACCCTCAGAATTACCGATTTGTCCGAATTAGGAGACTTGGTACCTAACTAATATTGCATGTATATGTTGTATACTCGTACCGTGTATATGTGCTGTAGAGAATGTATACGTGTCCAGGTGGAGCTATGCTATGTCGAACTTTAGTTTGTATAACAAAGTTCTAGTCAAATGGATACTAAAATAAGACTATGTACCTAAACAAGAGCTATAATTAAATATTAATTTGATGGAATTATTTTGTGTTTTATTGCCTCTCCTGGACACACTGCTGTTCTGTAATGCTCTCTTTTGTACCACAAATCATGATATTGTATATTTCAGTAATATGTTGCGTTTGATAAATAAAACTCCGAATTTAATTATGAAACTATTTTTTATTAAATCTATTTACCTCTAGAGAATACAAATTAATGTCCTCTGCGTGGCTATAGCAACGCAATCGCTTTTGCAAATACTTTATTGCAATAAACTTTAAGTGCTATTTACCCATTCGGTGGGTATAGTGTTCTCACACTTGTTTTACTCGCATTGAGTTTTAGGATACTTATTTACACAAGTCAAAATTAGTCCACATCTGAATCGGAGTCTATCGGACTCCAAGCGTGGTACTATAGAATACATAAACTTATTCGTCTGTCGTGGATCATGTCCATGTGACGGGTTTTCACGGCGCGCTGCGCGTCGAACGGAGTACGGAATGCAACACGAGCGTCGCCGGTAGGCTGGCCGCGCTCATTGTATCGCCTGATAACATCGTCTTGAGTCAACTCAAAGTCAGAGAAGAAGTCCATGATGTCGTCTATACTAGCGCGGAACGGCACATTCTCCATGGACACAACACAGCCAGGAGCACCGAAATCGTCGAGTGCGGGATCGTGTTCTTCGTCCATGCGACCATTATTTTCAAAACCTCCGTTGACACCGGCAACCCCACCACGACCCCCGAAGCCCCTGCCGCGACCTCGCCCTCTATCGAAACCGCGACCTCGCTCATTGAAACCTCCACGCCCTCTAAAACCGCCCCGACTTGCATCAAAGCCGCCCCGACTCGAGTCAAACCCACCTCGATTCGAGTCAAAGCCACCCCGATTCGAGTCAAAGCCACCCCGATTTGAGTCAAAGCCGCCCCGATTCGTGTCAAAGCCGCCTCGGTTGTTGAAACCACCTCGGTCAAAGCCCCCTCTGTCGAAGCCCCCACGACCTCTGAATCCACCGCGAAATGCTCCGCGACCTCCTTGCATGGGATCGAAGAATGGTGGCTGCTGTTGGGAAACATTACCGAGCATTC